ATATCATGGTTATAACATTATTTAAAAGAATTACATACGGTCACTTTTTTGGCATCATTTGTACAGAAAATATCGACATCAGAATAATGACATATTTTTGCTATCTAAATTTATTTATATTGAAATTGTAAGTGTACAAATAAAAATATACTTCATATTTCTTACATTTTGTTTTATATAAAAATATCAAGAAATTTTTAACTTTACACAAAAAAATACATATTATAATATATATGATAAGATATTATGATAAGAAAAATAATAAAAAGTAATATTACACATTATTAAAATTCCCAATTTTATTTACAATTACAATTAAATTGTGAATTTAATTTCTTTAGATTATGATAGAAATATGAGAAATTTTATAACAGCATATAGAAATAAAATAAAATAGAAATAATAATAAAATAACAAAACTAATAAAATATTATGAATTATAAAATTAATAATTATTATAACAATAAATTATTTGAATTTAAAAAGAAATTTAATTTAAATTAAGTTATTTTTTTTGTTAAAGAAATAAATTTAATATTTTTATTCTTGTTTCAAATATTATTTGTAAAACATTATTTTAAACTTGAAGCATAATTAATCGTATAAGTTAATATAATATATAATATCAATAAGTTAAAATGATAGTTAAATACAATTACATTATTCAGCAATTTGTTGTGAAATAGTTTTCAAAAATCTGAGGAAATCTTTGTCAGGCTCCAAATTCAAAAGTCGACATGTTCGATCCCATAAATCTTTGACAATTTGATTATCTTGCACTCGCCATTGTGGAGTCGCAGTACTACATTCTCTGCAAAAAACACAGAGCAAAAAATGTTAAATATTTTCTAATAAAATAAATAAGATATTAAAATAAAAAATATATTAAAATATTTTCTTTTTTATTTGTTGTGTGATACAAAAGAAAAATGCTCAACCAGAGGAAAGTGAGATGGTACATATTATTGAAATTTATTATCAAAGAGTTGTCTGCTAAATGTAGTTTTGTTACATTTTTTTATTTGTCTTAGCAGTCGTATTGACCCAGTATGTCATATGTAATAAATTATGTAAATGATACATAAATAAAATATATATCATAAATTTTTTAATGGTCATAAACAAATACTTTTTAATCACATTATATCCAGAATTCTAGGAGAAAAAAACAGAAACCAAAAAAATAAACAAAATTTTACCAGTATTTAATGGTTCTGAATACAGATATAAATGTGTATAAGATGGGTATAAAATTAATATTTGAAGAAATATTGCTTATAATAAAAGATGTTTAGCAACTAAATTTATAATAAGCAATAACGAAACAAAGAAATATGCACTCATCTTACATTGAAATTATATCATGTAAAACCTTATTCTGAAATATTGAATTACTCTATGACATGTTATACTTAATATAAATAAATAATTCTAACAGATTTTATTTACTTGTAGTAAAGACCAGTCTCGTTAGCTGCCAGTTTGTCTACTGAACAATATATGATCGTTTGTGCTCCTTGTTCAGAACTTTTTAAAAATAGTCGAAAAAATATTCTATATATAAAGTTTGCTCCCGGGAACATTGTTGTATTAAAATGTCGACCTAATTCTGTCATTACGACGCCAGGATGCAAGGAATATACGTTTATTCCATTAATGTTTGCCTCTGAAAAACATATTTCTGTTTATATACAATTGTTTGTACGATAAAAGCTCTAAAATATAAAATGTAAAATATAAAATATATAAAATCTCTATCATTTGTACTTCAATAAATCGTTTTGTCATTCAATATTATTTTTTAATCACAGATTATTTGATTAATTTGATCATCAATCTTTTCTCGATAAAAACATTGGCACAAGTTACTATCAGTTGCAATCTTCAGCTTTATATATAATTAAATTAGAAATCTATATTAAAATACTATTATTTTTATTTAATCTGGGATTCTTTTATATGTATTGTTTTCTATTAATTATCAGACTTATACATAAATTTAAATCCTTGAAATAAATAATAGTTTACAACAAATGTCATAAATAAATATTTGAAATAAAATGCAAATTAACATCTAAATTAGGCTAATATAGAGATTTTCTCTCCGTTTTGTAATTGTTTTTTGTAATTTGTTAATGTATCATTTTAATAAAGTAAATATTTTCAAATATATAATAGTCAAAATCATTGTCTATAATATTTTTATTTTTTAATAATTATGTTTATGTACTTTGTAACTGACGAGCGAGTTCTTTGGTAAATAATACGTTTGCCAGTTTACTTTGTGCATATGCTTTGAAGGGAGAGTATGTTTTTTCCATATTTAAATCTTCATGTATGTCGCCATCTGCAATATGATAATGATTATCTCTCTATTAATTATTTTTTTATATTATTAA